TGTACCCACAATCCTAAGGCCAGATACATTCCTTCCCCCTGAAACGGAGTAGGCGTGGCATTTCAACATGGCATAGGACGGGTTATTAATGGGATATTTCATTTTGAGACAAATGTCACCTTGTCCTGTGTTGGACGAGGACGTGACCATATTTTTCAAAATGAAAACATCTCACTGAAGTCACCGCCGCATTTAGTTGAAGTACGCAGCCACGCCCACCGCATCTCAGGGATTTCGAGTGTAACTCTAGTATGGAATTCTACATCGATTTCGGTGGAAAAGCAGATAGCGCCATATGGGCGTCCATTGAAGTCAGAAGCACGTGTAAAATCGAGGGTCGAAGCATTGAATAACCGTTAATGGATGAGTAGTGCCAACAAATCTTACAAACGTTACGAAATTCACCCAAAAAGGTGAAAAGGTCGCACTGAGCCGACAATTATGAGACCGACTGTCAGAGCGCTCTTTTGAGAAAATCAGAATCGATTCAAAAAGAGTAAACGTGTCACTTTCAGTAACGTACAGCATTGGTGTCAAGGGTGTAACATTCAATTGGGACACCTATACAAAGGTGAGGATCATTGTGAGCAATGTTTGCTGTGCTGCAAACGCGAAACATCTTCCTTTCAGGGATGTGCTTCCATTCTCGAGACTACTCAACAAGCACCCAACAATACTTGTTATGATATTTCTACTACGGATAAAGCAACGCACAAACAGGTAAGACTCAAGGAATGATTAACACAAAAAGGCAAAGTGTTGAGAGAATCAATCCACAGCAGCAACAACCCGGAGATCAAAAAGAAATTCAGTCGTTTTCGCTACAGACGCAAGAGTGAGCCAGTGGGTGCTGTTTGTGCGGCGCCAGCCCGTTCTCCACCAGAAACTTGTTGAAGCGGGCAAGAGACAACGATTGGTGGAAAACGGGTCAATGCCGCGCCAAGCTCAGCGCTCAAGCACACCCCTGCTTCTGCAGCAAAACAATTGTACCAAACGGCAGCAAGCAGTTGGCGGAAGGGGAAACGTAGCAGTACATGGATCCGTTTTAGAAGGGTGCATTAGAGGCGTGTGGGGTGAGGTCGCAAGCACAGGGCCATTCAATATGGAACAGTGCTGTGGTGTCCTCAGTGATGGGAGCGGGGATGACAGTCGCGTTATAGAAAGTTCTTTTCGTTGAAAGTTGTAAA